ATGACCAAAATGGCTTAAAAACCCTGCCCTTCGGGGCCGCACATACCTATATAGCCCATATAAGGGAGTACCCCCCCTCCCGAGCTTAATGCATATTTCCCGCTCTTGATAGCAAGAAAGCTATTCTAAGTAGTCTGTTCACTTACTATACAGATTTGTAATTAGTTTTTTTTAAACACAATGAATATTCCTTCCTGTTACTCCTTTCTCCGCACCGTAGATTATATGTATCGTTCTATCGGGCGAGTCTTTCATGCTTTTATGGTATTTCACTGGTACTAATTTCCATAATATTTACACTCTTTGAAATGCTTCCTTTCAATTCAACTTTCTGTAACGGACGATTAGACTTGAGATTACAAAGAATACAGGTATAAAACAACTGATTTTAACACATCTTCACCAGTTGCATGGCTTTCAACCTCTTTCCGCTCGCGCTCAATCTAACAAACGGTATCTCTCTCTTTTTTTTTCCTTTAGGTCAGCTAGATGGAAATCCTGATGATACCCATGTATAAACACTCTTTTCAGCATGATGCAAAAATGTATCAAACCGCTAAGAATCACAACAAAGTGATCAGAGCATGAGTTCATAGCTTCCAATTAGCTATGGCACCGAAGACTTTTGAATTTAATGTCTTATGTCTTTTTTCTTGGAACAGTGAGAAAAGATGGGCAACTTTTTTTTTTGTTAAGAGTAGGGACGAAAATCCTAGATACAGAAGTAGATAGGATTAATCTCAGAAGAATAGGTTTCTTTGAGATTGTGTTTACCCTTTTTTGCTTTTCGGAGCCAAGGGGTTTAGTGAATAAGCATTACTTACATTAGATTTGGGTAATGTATATAGTTTTCCAATCAGGAGCGATCAGTTCTTTTGACTGAGACATTGATTTTTGAAAATCCTTTTCGCTATGGGTGGTATCGATATATGCATTTTTTTAACCTACGACAATCGTAGCAGCAATATACCATGATAACAGATGCATACGATCCCAGGGGGGAATCTCATATAAAAGGGACGGGGCGCTCGTCAGAAATTTCAAAAGAACCCTTAAGGGGTGCCAAGATCCTGTTTTGCAGTCGTGGCCTGGAATGTTTTTCATCCCTAAGAGGTACCAATTTTAATACAACGCATTACCTGCTGTCATATATTTTTCAGCTCAATACCCCAAAAGGTACCGCGAAAATTTCCACTGTGGAGCTTTTGAGGCTAATCAACCTGAGAGGCACCAAAACTGCATTTTTAGCCCCTGAAAGTTACGACGAGCACCCCTGTCCTTTTTATATGGAAGTTCCCCCCCCCCCCCCCCCCC